CTCGAAGACAAAGCCGTTTCTCGGTGGGTGGAGAAATACCGTAACCGGCTTGATCTATCACAATGCCAGCACGCAGACAGACGGTAATCGAACGAAGAGCAAAATCACGCAGACTGTCGCAATCGTGGACGCAGTCACTGACGTCATACACGATCAAGCGGTGCAAGTGATGGAGGCGATACAGTTTTTGCCTGATGCACGCGACAAAATTATTACTCCTGGAATTTCTTCTTTAGGAACGACGTCGTTGACCGAAGAAGTCAAGTCATCTTGTCAAGACAATAACAAAATTCATGACAGCGTTGTTAAAATACAAAGATGTTACAGGTAATATTATTATCAGTAAGATAATATATTTGTGCCTAATACATATTATAAAAAAAAAAAAAAGATCAGATTTGAAAAATATAATTTTTAATATCTCTGCAATTGTCTTTAAATTTCTTTTAAAATGACATAGGATCATGCAAAATTAAAGAAACAGAATTTGAATTTTATCAATCTATTTGTACAACTTAATTCATTAAAATACCTTGTGCTGTTCGTAAACAAAAATTATATATTACGACAGTGAGTTTAAAGCAATTATCGATTCGCAGAGCTTATCGAGCTAGAACAGCAGCAAGAGTAAACGATTTCAAAGTGACAAACATCCCCCAACGTGATAGGGCGAACGTAATCGAGCATGCAGGATATTCTCAGGCACTGTCCAACTACAACAGCACGGATTTCGTGATTTTAAATCGCTGCCCACCGCTACGGGCTCAGATTTCGAATCACTCTACAATCTACTTGATCGCTGGCGAATCCTGGAGGCTGAAAAAACAAATCTCCTAAATTCATCAAAGACTGCTGCCTGCAGACTGATTCTGTCAAAGGAGATCGAATTGTTACGTGCAATAGACTCTATGAAGACCGCTGTTCGACTCAGATACAAGGAACAGAAACGACAAAGATTTCTGGATGAATTATCCAGACCGGTCACCTGGCAGGACAGTCGGAGCCAGCCGATCTTGGTAGATACCCTACGTGTTCAACGAGCCCGCCAGCACAGAAATGTCTACGCTTCGTGCAACGAGAATCTGACCGTTCGAACGGGTCGATTTATTGCACAATCTGAAACATATCGTCGGTATGCACACATGCAACCAATCATACGAGCTCGTCTATCTGATCGATCAGGAATTGGACCTCCTAATGTGTCATGTGGAAAGGAGCAAGCTCAATTGGCTCAGGAATCGACTGAAGCTGAGCTATCTCAAGTTGGCACGCAATATTCTGCAAGGTTTGCGTTCTCTTTTCTATTACATGATTTCTTTAAACAATTTATTAAAATAGTTTATTAAAATAGTAAATAAAAATTTAAACAGTTAATAAAAGTTAATAAAATAGTAAATAAAAATTTAACAGTTTAAATTTATAGAGCTATTTAAAAATGTTAAGATTTGCTTTAAACATTAATTAACTCTTTCTATTTGTTTCTCAGGCGACATTGAGGAAGATGCACATCTGTTTGACTGGTCAAACACCAACATCACGCGACTCTGTAGGACTTGTGGCAGACTCTTTTCCTTGGAAAAGTTCCCTCGCGAGCGACGATTGCGCTCTTCTTCTTGCATCTACTGCACGTCTATACGAACTCAGAAAGGCCCTCGTATCGTATATGAGCCCTATGAAAAGATGTTATGGGAAGTCAGACGTTTCGAGGCCAAGATGGGCTGCTATGGCAGTCTCGCCTTTGTAATTGGAGCCAAGACTGTCTGTCATTTGGTGAACAAAGTCTGGCATGGTAGATCGGGTATCTCTGAGTGCGACAATCTCGACGAGCTCAGATTGACTCGTTTCCGATACGAGCTGGAATGGGCACCTTGGAATTCTCTATTATTAACGAAAACCGAAGCTGCAATTCATCATGGGATTACCGATATCGAAAGCTTTTATGATTCATCACTCTTGCAGAAATTTTATATGAAGAATCTCCAGGCGAAAGTATATTTCGAATCAATCTCTCAAACACGAAGGAACATCGTGACACCATCCTTGGTGGAAGATCAATAATTTCAACGCTCTTTTTTACGTAATGCACAAAACATAAGTAAAACAAAAAAAATCTCTCCTGCTTGGCTGAAGTGCAAATAAATTCTATTCTATTCTAAGTAAAACAAAGAATCATAAAAAAAAATTGTTTAACTCAATTCTGCTTATTATCACATACATGGTAATAAGAATTATATTATTTATATTTATGAAAAAGTTGAAAAATTGCTAAGATTATTATATTAGCACAGTTTTGTTATAAGGTAAGGAAGGTCAATGTCCGATATAAAAAAAGAAAAATCATGAAAATTTGTTGGACTTTCATTTACGATTCGCGCAATCTTCACCCGCTGTTGCGAGACTGCAATTGTTCTCGGTGCAAGTGCGGTACATGTGTGTTTCTACGATTCTACGAGAGAAATTCGCGAGTTGAAGACTCGTCCTAAGCCAATTATCAAGTTGTAGAGAAACGTGCCCACCTCCGGATGTCGGCCGTTCGTCCTCGCGGAAGTTGGGTGTCGGGAAAATACGTTGAGCTCGCATTATAGCCGGGACATCGCCGTTGTTTCTCGCGTTTTCTCGTGTCGCCTTCAAGGCAGGATGTCCTGGTCACGTTGATAGCGCTAGTTAATCGCGTTGCGAGTTTATGAACTAAGTTTCTAAGAGGGAAAAGCGTGAAGGCGCATCAGTTCGACTCAGACATTTAAAATGCTGTCCGCGCGCGTGACGATTTCAGTGTAATGCGTTTTTTGTTTCCTTCCAGGCTTTTATAAGGTGATATTTTTTATATCAGATGGTCGCCACGAGTTTCTCAATAAATGTGATTGCGATCGCGATATCAACGACGAGAGATAATGTTAAAAGACCAAAGATGTTTATTTAAATTAAAGATAACATACTACATAAAATATTGCATTAGATAATATTATTATAATATTGCAAAAAATAAAATAAAATAAAAAATAAATGAATTGTATATATTAATATTTCTTATTTTATCTGTTATGTTTTTAAAAGATTATATATGCATAATAATATTATTATTTTTCACTTTATCTTTATATAAAAGATATGCTTTTCTGCTTTTTTTTTTTTTTCGTAAGAAAGAGTCTACTAGTAAAGATAGACTTGAGTTTATAATCTGATACCGTTGAAACGATCTGGAGAACATTGTTTCGGCGACGAAATACCGATAAACTGCGAAAACGACACGCAGTCTGTACGGAAAAACGGCTGCAGCGCGGAAATCGCGTCGTACGAGAAACAAAGTGTTATGGAAAGGTCGACGATAAAAGCGGCCCCCAGTGTAGTAAAGGAAATAATAATGCAAAGACGAAGTGTTCGTGTGACAGGCCATTTCGCGATAGTATCCACATATGATGATAATTTTTATTTCTTTGCCTCAGGCGACCGCGTTCCGACCTGCGGCGAGAAATGCCTCCCTGGAGTAACGTTTAAAACGAACTTTCTTCGTGATAGTCTGGGAGAAATTCAACTCAGATATTAAAGCTCTCGTGTGTCACATGTGTGAAAGCTCAAAGATCGAGGGACATTCGACGTCAGGTTTCAGGATAGCCGATAAACGAATTTTTCCATTTATCGAATTGGATTTTCGAATTATATAGATTTCAAATATTTAAAATATAACTCAATATATGACGTGATTATATTCTGTCTTTTTTTTTTTACTTAACAAATGATTATATCAGTAGATAATAAGTAACAGTAAAAGTTAAAAAGTTATGTAAAGTTGTAACAGAATTTTTTCTTTTTTATTTAATAAGATAGATTAGAGTTTAAGTTATTTTTCAAAATTATTGTAAAAGAATGCATAATAATATAAGGGAGATCGAGGCTTGTTGGCACAGTTTTAGACATTAGAATTTTTCAGGCAATCAATTATTCATACTGACTATACTAAAATAACAGGGAGAACTTTTCCTTACAATTTCATGCCAAAAATGATCCTGTACATGTAATTTTTTGTAATTTTTTTTTATAAGTGAAATACGAATATACTGCATCATAGCCAGTTTGCTCTGATAGTAGATAAGGGTAAATTAGTATACATCATAGTATAAATTATATAAGTTATATGACAAACTTTATGTTAAATTAATGAAATAACAATCAAAAATAATTGCAGCCGTGTAATTTTCAACATAGTAATAATTATATTCATTAGTTGTAGTGTGTTAATTAAGTGTATTGTTTGTTAGACATATTTTAAAAAAGTATATACAAAGTTATTTGCTAATTTTTATTTCTATAAACCTGTGTTTTTATGGTTGGTATTTATTGCATAATAAATCATATGTTCACATGTGCATGATAACAAGTTCATTTTACGAGCCAACATATATACAATTTTTACATATTTTATTTCAGTTTCAATTTATTATTAAAAAATATTATTACAAAATAGCAACAGAAAATGTTCTCTTAATTAATAATACATCACTTCGACTTTCACAATGAAGAATATTAAACAAAATTTCGAGAAACGCTTGGAAATTTTTTGTTTCCTCTTGAATCAAATTTTTTTCTTCTTTATTGCTTTATCTGTTTAATTTAAATAAAGCTCAGGAAAATGATATCTACGTAATAAAATAAAAGAAATATTTCGCAATAATTTTTCCGTTATTTCGTTCGTAAAAAAAAAAAAAATATATGGAATGCAATTCCAATCCCTTGTGCCAATGAGTTCCGGCCTTCTCTATTCTGCATGAGAGAATCCTATATCATATACGGATAATGATTCCCATGGCGATATGTGAACGTGTACGATTAGTCGATAATACGGGCGAAGCATAGTCTTTCAATCAGCATTCAGCAATTCACCGCGGATCAACAGATAATCGTATTAACCTGGGAACACCGCTAATAAGTACCAGTACATCGTGAATGATCCAGCATGATGAATCCGTCATTGCGGCTGGCCAATAGCTAGTCAATGGACAATCCAATGGAAGTACACGGTACTTCCTAATGGATTTGTCGTGATTAAATAGTGGAGGGTCACGATGTATGGTCGGACGCGCGGTACGCCCACAGTAAGTAGTAAATGGACGTTCGCAGTCGGCCGCGATAGAGCGTCGCTTAAGTAGTGAAGGAAAGATTTCGATCGGACGCGCTCGCAGAGAAGCCCGATTCCTAGCCTCATTCACATATACATACGTCATACAACGCTAAGAAATTGTACGCTAAAATAAATTAATAATTAGCAGGTAATCAGGTATTCAGTATGATTAAAGATAAAATTTTTATATTAAAAGCATTTTTAGTTCTGTTAAGAAAATAAACTGTCTGTCTGAGATCTTAATTTTACGTGAAAAATGACGATTACAATTCATTGCCGAACAAAATCCTCTAGATTGTATTTCTATTAATATGAATTAAAGAACTGCGAATTAAAGAACTAGAAGTAACAGCGGCAGTCGTGTGGATGTATAAGAATTTTAACGTATAACAAAAGGATCGTAATTCTCGCCGTAAATAGCTCGCTCAGTTATATGACTCGCCGAATCGTTAAGTTCACGTCGTTACCCTCGGGAACGATTATACTTTCGACAGTCGCGGTAAAGTACATGCAGCAGCGAGTTTCTTATAAGTCGAAGTGACGGCCGCGGTTTTGCATCGAAATAAGGTTTTTTGAGTTTAAATTAGAAAGGATCTACGCCAGGAGCTACGCCTCTCTTTCTCTCCGGAGGCGCGTGTGAAATCGTATAAGCGCTTCTCACGACTATAAATAAACTCGATCTACGATATAGACAGGGATATATCAATGTCTACGAGAGCAGCCTGCTTTAAATGCAAATGTGCACTGCTTCTCTTGTGTCGGCAGCTTCTCTTGATATCGATCGGAAGCAGCTGGCATTAATTCCTAATTATTGCCATCGTAATCACGTTCCCAAGTTCCTCGATAAATTAGAATATTTAACATCTCTCGCCATCTTACCTTTGTCGCTTACGTATGTATCGCCATTCATATATGATCAATTATCTTTCGTTATTAATTTTATTGTATATCAATGTACATATAATTAATTTTAAGCGAAAATATAAAATATTTTTATGTATACATAATAATTATATATAAATTATTTTATATAAAATAAATATGTATATATAATTTAAATTATTTTTCATTAAATTATTTTCAATTCTTTCCTTTTGTCGAAATAAATTTATTACATTATTAAAAATCAATTTCCACGTAATACAATAATTTTAAAAGATGTATGTTTTAAAAATGTAGGTTACAAATAGATTTCTCGAAATTTTTTTATTAAAAAGAAAATATTTCACGTTAACAAAATTTATATGTAATTCGATAACTTTCCAAATGTTATGAAAATTTAATTATTCACCTTTCTTTGCGGAAGATAAAGTGAAAGATTAGAATCTTTCTTCTTGAAGGAGCGAATCGACAAGATTGTTCGAAATTATTAAAGATTCTTGATGAAATGTTCGAATAAACAAATATCTTGGTCGACGCTTGGAGCACAATCTCTCGAGTTTGAACGACATTTCCGCGCGAATATCCAAGGCTCGAGCATCGATAGGAATAAATTGAATTGCGAGAAGTTCTTCGTCGTTGTCAAACTTTCCCATTATTTGAAATTATGAGAGCTCTCGAGACTCGAGAAAACCGGTGAGAACCAATGGCCACTATTAAAATTAGGGAATTAGGAAAATTAGGGAGTCATGGCAAAATCTCAATATTATTAAATCGTGTAATCCGACATGTAATAGCATTTTTAGACGGCCACGTATGAAATGTAACCGTTTTGCAATTTGCCTCGTTCTACCTTGTTGAATAAAGAAATTTACTTCGTGAAATTAGCTTTTTAATTTAAACAGCAAGCAATATCTTGACAAAACAAACTCAAATTTTTATAGTTTTAAGAAAGATTGATGTGTTATTCCAATTGCGTTTCTCATTTCTACCAACGAGTTGAAGTTTTCAGTTGCTTGGAAGAACAAAATTATTGTGCAAATATACATCTAGAGTTCGTTGCTCGATATTTCTAAAAAAAGTATTTTAAATAATTTTGCATAATTTTACATAATGTTGAAATCTAAGAAATCTAATATTTCTAATTGTTACAATTAACAAAAAAGTGCATTTTAAAGCAAATTACATCAACGATACTTTAATTAACGTTGACGATAACAGATCTAAACAGCACTTATCATAAAATTGAGTTAATGCAATAGTTCTATCAAGAAATAGCTTCTGGCCGTAGCTCCACAGCAACTATTCAAATAGAGTAGAATATGCGTTAACGTTATAATGAAAACGTCGTGATGAAAACAAGTTTAATGCAAATTAGTTGTTTAAATTATAAAAATTTCAAAATCCTTTTTTGCTTTCTTTTTTGTGATTTACGTCATTCTCTGCGCTACGATTTTTCCAACCTTTATCGATGATTATTATTCAACGACACACACTGCATTATTCGCAGTTGTTCAAATTTGCCAATCCATATGCGTGGTTAATTAGTTTCGGACGTGCAAAATAGTGAAAAAGCAGGAATGTTATTGTAACATTTACAATTCTAATGCGTTGATATAAGATAAGTGAGCAAAAATTGCGACTGTTTTGACTGTTGTGCTAACATTATTAATGCATTAATTAATTTATGTACTTATTAGATAAAACTTAATTTATTATAGATAATACTTAATTTATGTTACTTATTAGAATTAAATAAGGGTAGAAGGGTGAACTTAATACTGTAATATTATAAATTCTATAAATTTCTAAGTAAAGGTATGATGGAATTGTTAAGAACATAATACTTTGACTTTATTTCTATTTTTATATTTACTTTTGTCTTTTCTTTAATATAAAACTCTTATTTTATTTTTTTGTTTATAGCATGTACTTATTTATTGCACGTAATAATAATAATAATTTGA